TATAAAAGCACTGCATGGCAAAGCAAAAAGCTGGGGTTTCTAATTAAGCCCTTAGGGACATTAATTACGAATGAATTAATTACCTAATAAAGTTATAATTAAACAATTAATCGCGCAGGTAAGATTAGTTTTCAGATAACATTCAAGAAATTGAGTAAGGAATATCCTTAATCATCGGTCCCCCAACTTGACCGTCTTAAAAATAAAAGAAAATTAATGAAAATAATTTGAAAATTTTAAATTTTAACGATAAGAACAAAATAAAAGGTAAACTGAATAGTATTAGGATTGACTTTTTAGTGTAAAAATGTAATTTTTTATTAAAGTAAACAGTAATGTATACATAGAATTGAACGTATACCAAAATTTACAAAAGCAATCATTCAAGTGCTTATCTTTGTTCCATCACAAAGAAGAGTATAATTGTGCAATTACATGTTCATACGCAAAGAGGAGTCCTAGGATCGATCAGTGTTGCAGTCTCGACCCCGCTTGCTTTGGATGTCCCAAAAGCAAGAATGATATGATTAACCGATACATATGTGAATGATTTATCTTAGCATTTTGAATTATGCATACTTCACTTTGTATCAACGGTAGGGTCATAAATTATTCATTGAGTGAGTTAAGTAAAAATTATTACTACGAAATCAAATATTTATTTTTTATTTTTTATTTTTTTGTTGCCTACATAAAGTTAAACAATAGTAAACCTAAAAGTAAATATGAAGTAAGAAGTTTATAGTCTATTTTTAAGGCTTCTTGCCTTCAAAACTTTAAAATGAATAAAATAAGACACCGTTGTGGTATAAAAGTTTTAATTTATTACTACTAAATTTTAGTATTGGTTAAAATGAAGAATTTATTTAACATTTCTTATTTTTCCTAAAAACAAGGATTCAGACTCTTCGTTTGCTATGTAGGCTATGACAATTAAAAATAATAAAATTGCCTAAATGTTTAGTGTTTTAAGCTTAAAGAGCTAAAACTCTTCTAATGCTATAGCCCACGGAAACCTTGTACTTGGCTCTGCAGGTGCTTTGTATTTTAATTATCAATTTGACAACAATTAATCAGGTAGGAATGTTATTCCAATATATTTTCTCTGTTGTTGGGTTGATACTCCGGATAACGAGATTATGTTAAAAAGATTGGAGATCAAAAGAAATCGGTGATTTAGTAATTTAGTAGGCTTAGTGCTCTCATCACTCATGGGGATGATATGATCGTTTATGATTCTGTAAGTCATCATATCCACCGCCACGTGCACTATCACTTTGTGCACCCATTTCTCTTTCTATATGATTCTTTTCACTAAGCAATTTAGTATTCATAGGTAAAAATAACTCTGCTTTTCGTTATGTAAGCTAGGTCAGTTTTGTAGGTTAAAAGGATTGACTCTTTTAGAGTAAGAAGTCAAAGTGATGTCATTTTAAAAGATTTTTAATGTAATTGTCATTCAGACTATCATTAACGTTACTAGTTTATATATTATAATATAGACGGTCATCGTGATTAATATACTTAAACATAATAGGTTAGATTCATTGTTATTTTGTAATATAAGAGCATCTCCAGCGTGCCTTTTGGCCGTATGGACAGGCTGCTGCAGCAACCCAATTGCTTGCCAAAGTGGTTCCAACCCATCCAGGCTATTGGGCTGAGGGGGAGCCCAAGGGAGAGCTCAGGCGCACGTCCAAGGCCTAAGCGCCTGAGGGAGAGTGATGTAAGGCTAATGTCAATCACATTCGAAAAACATTTGCGTCAAGCACATTCTAAAAACATTTGCGTCAAGCACATGGCCAACAAGTGCGCATAGGGGCAGGTCTCCGACACATTTTCAGACTCTGGGACTCGCATGCTAGCCTCACTCAGATACCATTGAATATGGACCGTTGATCTGAAAATCAACGGTCTAGGTTTTTAGGCTTTAAAAAATGAAAAAAAAAAACAAGAAATGTTACGGTAGGCCTCGTGTCCCATTCTGAATTGTTGGATTTTAAAATTTTTTGTAATCCAACAGTCCAAATTAATTAAGTTAATAAAAAATTTAAAAAAAAAATTAAAAATCCAAAAAATTTCAAAAAAAATTAAAAAAATATATATATATATATTTTTTCTTTAAGTACCTTACCATTTTCTCCCACCTTACACCACATTTCAATATTTTCAACGATTCTAAATAGGTAAGGACATGTCGCTCGACGTAATTGGTTAAAAATCTTATCGTAATCTATCCACAAAAATTTTATTTTCAGATAATGACACCTGACATGACCAAATCAGTTAAAAATTCTATTCGAAACTAAAATCAAATTATTTTTAATTTTTTTTATAAAATAAAAAATACTAATATTTTGTTGCCTATTGTTATAGCTATTCAGTTTAGGGGTGGAGATGCAAAAGGAAATTACTATTCACTTAAGGGGTTCAGTTGCCCATTGTCATGGAGAGCCTTTACACACTAGAACTGCTCTAATGCAATGATCAGAAAAAGATTTGCACATCTAAAAGTTTGGATATTGAACATATATTTTAGTATAAACTCCAACCCCACAATAGATATAATATTTAATTAAAAGAATAAAAATAGGATCAAAAGACGGAATTGGATACCATCTGGATTCACTTTGTGGGGATTCTAGAAATCCCCACATCTTAGTCATTCATCGCATATCGTGCGGTCAGAAATCATTTTTTGACTTTTTTTTTATTTAAAATTAAACACAAATAGTATCTGATGAAAATTGGACGCACGATGTACGATGAACGATTAAGATGTGAGGATTCCTAGGATCCCCACAAGTGGATCCGGAGAGGATCCTCTTCCTCAAAAAACAATCACAAAAGCCTGCCAAGATCTATGTATAAGAGTAAATCCCAAATTCAAGGATCCCTAGGATCCTCACAAAAATGATCCATAGAGGATCCTCATTGCACACCCAATATTGCAATTGGATGCCACTTTAACACTCTTAAATTACTTTGTTGAATATCAAATTTGAGATTTATGTCATAAGCGCATGTGTGTGTGTGTGTGTCTGTGTGTGTATGTGTCTGCGTGTGTATGTATATGTATATAAAAGTTAGGGTTATTATACAAAATGGTCCCTGTGATTTGCATGATCAATAGAAATGGTTCATGAGATTGAAAATCAATAGAAATGGTCCCTGAGATCGTCCACCATCCATGATTTTGGTCCATCCGTTAAAAACGATTTTGGGCAATTTTTAAAGCCTTGTAACTCAATTGTTTCTTAACCAAATTCGACCCATAGTATATCAAAATGAAGATAGGAAAGTGTAGAATAAGATTATACATATTTGGAAGCCCAATTATTACCGAAGATGGCAAGAAAATAGCCTGACAGGTGACGGGTCAGCGGAAAAACTAGAAAACTCGCCAGAAACAGGGTAAACTTTAAACGTTCATAACTTCTTCAATACTCAACGAAATCAAGTGATTCAAAACAAAAATAATACTTCTTGATGAGACGAAGAGAATGGCACCTTTTTTGAAGGCTAACTTACCGTGGTTTGGTCGAAAAACGGCTTGAAAGTGGCTAACCATTTTTGAATTAGCCACTTTCAAGCAGTTTTCCGGCTAAACCACGGCGAGTTATCAGTAAAGAAAGATACCATTCTCTTCGTCTTGTCAAGAAGTATGATTTTCGTATTTGAATCACTCGATGTCGTTGAGTATTGAAGAAGTTATGAACGTTTAAAGTTTACCTAGTTTCCGGTGAGTTTTCCAGTTTTCCAATGGACCAGTCATCTTTCAGGATAATTTCCAACCATTTCTGGCAATCTTTGGGCTTCCAAATAGGTATAATCTTGTTCTACACTTTCTTATCTTCATTTTGATATATTATGGGTTGAATTTGGTTAAGAATCAATTGAGTTATGAAGCTTTGAAAATTGTCTAAAGAGCTTTTAACGAAATGACCAAAATCATGGATGGTAGACAATCTCAGGGATCATTTCTATTGATTTTCAACCTCAGGGACCATTTTTATTGATCATGCAAATCTCAGGGACCATTTTGTATAATAACCCTAAAAGTTATTGACACTCTAAAAATCTCATTTTGCACTTCAAACTTTCTAAAATTAGAAAGAAAAATACACTTGTGATGAGTATAGAATGAGATTTTTGAAGTGACTAATAACAATTATATATATTCATTAGGTTACATGAAATCATGTGCTAGAATAGTAACACCGACCATGTGAGATCAAATCAATGATAGAGATAATAAACAATTTCATGTGCAAAATGAATGCAAAAGATTTGAACTTGTACCAGTATTGTTGAGATTCTGAAAGGTCGAACCAAATGCACGTCCACTTCAATGAGGATGGATGAATTATGAACCCAACGACATTGGCAGTAACTTGTGTCAAACCAAAATGAGAAGAACCTCCTTTTATTAAAAAGAAAAAGGTCTTGGTGTATTGGTATTTCTCTTTAAATGAGAGCAAAAATAACTTAAAGATAAAACTAGTTACAATATTAATTTATTTTAAGATAAGGTTATTTTAAGACGTGGCACTCGATGACTCACTTTTATCTTAGATCGACACTAAATTGTTATCATGTAGTTAATAGTTTACTTATTGTTGTTGATATAACATTTGTTTATTCACGTGACTTTAATTTAGCATGCATGTAACAAAAACACAACCAATCAAGTACTTCATAAGATGAGGAGAGCTAGTGTCACAGTGGAAATCAAGCACCCTTGTGACCCTCCTCACCTAGATCCGAGGCTCCTCCAACGCCCTTTTCCCGTTTGAAGGAATCATTCATAAATTCTTCTCCCATGCCTTTTATAACACTTAAATAATGCATTTCTAGTCCCTCATGTCTAACATTTTGTGATCTATTTCGTAGTTACTTTATTGGAATTTGGAAGTTCTCTCACTCAAAACATTCCTAAGTGATCAGGGGTGACTCTCAATGGATAGAGTGAAAAGATGAAAAAATGTTGGAGTGGGAAAAGTATGTATGACGAGGAGGGTGAGAGTCAGCGTTTCCATAAAAATGACGGGAGTCCGCGGGCACTATGAATGTGACACTCACTGCTGAGGACGGAAGGACAGAGTGGGTGGCAGAGTCGGCGGAAGTAGGCCACCCCTCTCCACTCCACCCCACCCCACCACCACCTTTTGTCATAAATATGCATTCGGAAGCGTCTCCAATCTTCCCTTCCTCTCCTTTACTGCTACTTGTACTTGATTTTCCCTTCCCTTCCCTCCCTTCCTCCCCACTCCCTCACACACCCCAAGAAACCTACATCTCCATAACCCAAAATTCCAATTTCTTTCTTAGCTTCCTTTTCTTTCTTTTGTTTTAATCACTTTATTTTTCCCCTTTTGTGGGTTTATTTTTTGGATTGGGATGCATAGGCTTGTTGTTTGTAAGGTGTTCTGATTGGGTTTTGTTTGGTTTGTGGGATTGTAGAGAGTGAGAGAATGGGAACTGAGGAAGAAAAGCATGATCATGATCAAAATTCATGCCAAGGGCAAGGAGTTGTTGTGCCACTTCACAAGGTACAAACTTTCTGCTTCTATTTACAGTTTACAATTTCACTCACTTTGTAATCCAGCAATCACCATTTCCCCCGTGTTTTGAGCTAATCGTGAGCTAGATTATAAGTATTATACCCCTTCATTTACCTCTGATGATCTTGTTCTCTGTTATCTCATAAGCCAAAGAAAAAATAAACAGCAAGTTAGGGACTCTGTCCAAAAATTTTGATCTTCTTTTCTTTGATTGATGAGTATTGTGAATCATTACGCTGTCAAGAGTCCGTTGCCGCGCATTTCCTTTGATTTGTATGTGCTGTTAATCTCTAATCCAGTTGCCAAATATGTAATGTTTGTCTACAAAATCAACAGTTGTAACTTTAAATAATCAGTGATGCATAGCAGTTTTGTCTGTGAAGTTTGAGAAGAAAAGTATTAAATTTGTATAGGTCTACAATCTACCTATTGAAATGAGCCGAAGACAGACCTGATGCGTTAGTTCCCCAAACATGAACACAACAACAACAACAACAACAACCACAAAGTCTTTTCCCACCAAGTGGGGTCGGCTATATGAATCCTAGAACACCATTGTGCCCGGAGTTCCCCAAACATGAACATGTGCAATTATTTTAAAATCATCATCCTGTAAGTAAACTGGATTAACATTTCGTACTCTGAAGGACAAATTGTGGGTGTCTTACCAAAATGAGTAGCTGGGATTTTAGTATCTCTCAATAATCTTAGCCGCATCCAGTTTAAGTAGTTTTTAGTACAAATGTGAGTGCGCGTGAATCTAAATCAAATGATAAATTGTTTTATGTGTTTCTGATAATACAGACTGTGGTTACATACCTAGTAGTGGTGCATTTAAACATACCCATGTTGTATTACTACTACTCTCCAAGTTCAAACAATTTAAAGCTACAATGTGTTGGATTTAAATTGTGAAATTGGCTGATATAAGAAATTCATAGCTGCAGATGTTTTCTAGTGTATATTCAGTTATTAAACGATTCACATCACTGAACTACACTGCAGAGTAGGCCCCTGATCCCCATTTGTCAGAAACAATGGGGATCCCTCTCATGCAGCTGCCTGCAGACACACACATGCACAGATATATGTATGACTTACCACCGAAACAGGAATCTCCGTATATAAATGATACAAGGAAATATACCTAAATCTAGTTCAGAAAAGATTGATCAAGTACATCAGATATTACTGATTGTGATTCTGTCCATTATGTTTCATGGATGAAGCTGTTTTCTTTTTCCCTGATTAATTTCTGCCTACAAAAAGAAATCGTACATAAAAATCTTGGAAAACATTTTCGAATAATGGATACAAAAATGTGGGTTCTAAGCTAGCTGTATGAGTTCTGACTTAATACAACACTTCTGTCTGATACAGTTGGTTACTTCTCTCTTTCAGAACAGCTATCTTTTCTAATCATATTAATTATTGAAAAACCTGGAAGAAGAAAAGATTGCGAAGCTGGAAAATAAACATATATATGTATATATATGTATATATATGTATATGTATATATGTATATATATTGCCTTCTGCTTCTATTTTACATCCTCTTCAATTCATATTATATCCTCGTTTGTTCAGGTTGAAGATTCAGTGGGAGTAGCTGAAGAAGCACCCCAAATTCATCCATGGAAGCGAAAAAATCTCCACCTGGAGATACCCGCTAGAACATCCGAAGATTTTGTCAAGGAATTTGTTGCAATAAAGATGCCTCCCACACCAAGTCCTACTCCTAGGAAAGTGAATTTTCTTTTGACACCTGGTTCTGTAGACGGAAGAATGAGTGATTCGCCAGGGCCCTCTTCAGCAAAAGGAAAATCATCTATAAAATCTATTTTTCCAAAACTAAGCTTCAAGTATCGAAGTTCTGCTGGTGCCGAGAAGGCGTCCAACCTAGCTGCAGAAGGTTCGTCTACAGGAGCTCGGGAGAAAGCTTCCATCTCAAGGTCACAGTCTCTCACAAAACTATTCACACCGAGGATGAAGACAACATCATCCCTACCTGTAACTCCAATTGCACTTGCACACCGAGAATATGCACATGGCGGAAGTGTTGGTGGCTCTCTGAATTCAATTGTAAGTTCTGGACATTATTGCTCAAGAATGTCTAATCAAACCTAGTTGATCAACCCACCACCACTTGGTTGCTAGCATACAAGTTAACTAGGCCACCAAACATCTCAGTCATGTCCATCTATAAACATGTGTATTTTACAGTCGTGTTTCTTTTATCTTACAGACGAAAGAATCCCGAAGACAGATAGCTCGCTCACTTTCAGTCCCAGTCAACCATAAAGAAATGAACTTAAAGATGATGGATTCATTTTTCCGTGTAATTCCTTCAACTCCTCGAGTCAAGGAAGGGGATGGTGTATCGATTAGTTCCCCAACTGTAGATGCTGGTATTTTTCTTGTCTACGATTATGTCATGGACACTGAATCCTGATCGAGTTTTATATGCTAACGTTTCTGACTTATAACTTTGTTGTATAACAAATTTGCTTAGGCTATTTTTTTAATTCTTTATCTTATTACTCTCATGGTTCAGGGAAAGATGATGATAATGGTGAAGACATACGCGAGGAAGAGGCCGTCTGTAGAATTTGTCTAGTGGAACTGTGTGAAGGGGGTGAGACCTTCAAAACGGAATGCAGTTGCAAAGGCGAACTTGCTCTGGCCCACCAAGAATGTGCTATTAAATGGTTTAGTATCAAAGGTAACAAGACGTGTGATGTTTGTAAGCAAGAGGTTCAAAACCTGCCTGTCACTCTATTACGAATTCAAAGTGTTCGAGCTCAAAATGCTGGAGCAAGTTTATATGAGCAGGAAGATGATAATGGGTTCAGGCAAGTGGCTTTGCATATATACAGTTTTTATTGTTCAATGCCTCACAAACAAACCTGCTTGTTTAATTATCTTGCATCCCGTAAGCTCAATAAAAGAATCTCGCTGAAAAAATGTTCCATAGAAAAACATTCATGCGCTAATATTGTTAGTTCATATCTTTTCAGGGTTTCGCAGGAAGTGCCTGTGCTTGTCATTGTCAGCATGCTTGCCTACTTTTGTTTTCTCGAACAGCTCCTGGTAAGAGTGGAAATCAAAACTGTGGAGCTTGTCATTTTATAATTTTCTGACTCATTCATAATATGTATGTTCACTGCAGGTGGAGAAGATGGGCACTGGAGCAATTGTCATCTCTCTTCCATTTTCTTGTGTACTGGGTCTTCTCTCATCCGTGACTTCATCAACCATGGGTAGGCTGGCAATCATCATTTCTCTTTAATTTGTGCAATCTTCTATGCTAATTTGTGGTGTGAAAAACATACGTTCTAAGTTTATAGGTTACAAGTAATTCTAACATGCATCGCCCCGAAGGCAACTAGCTACGAGAGCAATCATTTAATGTTAGAATATTAGCCATGATATATTTTCATGCACCCGTGGCAGTGAATTGTTACCATATTCTTTTACGGCTTATGGATTGTTGATTCACCACACTAACTTTTGAATCTTCTGTGTTCAGTGAAAAGAAGATTTGTTTGGGTTTACGCATCGGTTCAGTTTGCTCTGGTCGTTCTATTTGCACATATATTTTACTCTTTGGTAAGAAACTTTTTCCACAGCAAGTTCTCTTTTCTTCGTTTTTCATAGGTTCATCCCGCACTTTTCTTTTAATCAAAGTGGAACCTAAACAACCTCTTATTTATAGTTATTCTGCTCTCAGTGTGGCTTACAGACCTTTATGGACATAAATCAGATCATAAATATCGATAAACTTTTTGCACTAGTATGAACACTAAATGGCTTTGTGCTAGTTTTTTGGACCTTTAATCACTTTGGGACAACAAGCATCCGATATGCCAAGATCTACGTTTATTTGTAGACAATATGCTGCGCTTCTTTTCCGAATTTCTTGTTGAAATAACTCTAGCATTCCAAGTCCCATCATCTTATGTGAATGTGTGTTAAATACTTTTGCATTATATTGTGGCTTCAGGTCCGCATGCAAGCAGTTCCTTGTATTCTCCTCGCAACATTTGCTGGGTTGGGAGTCGCACTGAGTGGAAGTTCCATTATTGTCGAGTTCTTGAGATGGAGAAGAAGATGGCAAACTGCGTCTGAGCAACGCGAGATGACCTAATTGTTGGCATGACCAGACCAGTTTCCAGGAAACATAAATTCACAGAGGAGTGACCAATCTTTAATGTAAGGTCATCAATGGTTGATATCACGTGAGTAAGCTTATAGCGGAGATCAGGATTTCGATAATTTTTGTAATATATCCTGGAATTTTGTATGCTTCCCACTTTTAATACAAGATTGTATAGCCTCAAAATTATAGCAGTGGTAGTACCAAGTGTAATTAGACGTGTTTTAGTTGGAGCGATTGGAGCATTAGTTTCTGAACTCGTGCTCGAGCTTCAACTTTAGAAAGCACAAAATACTTATGCTGTATTGATTAACAATCATTGCCAGTTCGACCAAAAGTGTTCCAAAAAATGGCTACTGTTCCTTTTCCATTTAATTTCTGAAGTTTACAACGCACAATAAGGTGCAACCCACTTTGACGACGCCGTTCATCCTACTTGTTCTTTCTTTTAGTTAATTTCTGCAGGCAAATTCATCAGTACAATTATAATATAATGTTATTGAGTTCGTCTCAATGTGCTGAGATCTCTATAATTTCAACTGGCAATGATTTTTTGTTACGTTTTCCTTTTAATTTGCACATCAAGAAAAACTTCATGTTGCTCCAGAAAGTTTAAGCATTTTGATTTCCGGACTAAATACTGAATATAATATTATGAAAATCCAAGACAATGATCTTGGTTGGTTTGAAAAGAAAAGGCACATTAGCAATTATTCAAGACCTTGTTTTATGGAATTAAGTATTCATGTCATAATTTGTTGGATAGTATTTAGCTTGATCTAAGAAAAATATTGTTCAAAGTCTTACTTGACATGAATCAAGTGCATACTCTTTGAGTTGACACCATCAAGGTTCTAAAAGACGTTAGGCGCTAGTCGGACGGCGAGTTAAGGCTTAGCGTCTAGGCGGATAGGCGGCTAGACGAACTAAGCGGATTTAAATAAAATAGTATAAATAAGTGTCTCTTTATACTTAAAAAATACATAATTGTATTGAAATACATAAATTGCAAAATAAAATGACATATAGGTTAATATTATATATATATATATATATATATTATAAAATATGAGTATACATGTAAAATTATGGTGTTCTTTATGTTGGTTTTGTAACGTTTTTTTCCAAATCTATATGTTTTAATCGTTGGCCCTTATTTTTCATTTCAAAAAGGATTGGCCTTGTTTTCACATTAAATAAATAAATATATTTTATTCTCTAATTTTAAAAGGAATATCAGCCACTTAAAATCCTAGCTCTAACCCTAGCCAACAACATAACCTCTGCGTTGTTCTCATTCTTCTCTTCTGCTAATTGCAATTTTACAGAGCTCTGCACCGTCGCATTCTTCTTCTCTGGAAATTGCAATTTTACATAGCTCTCTCTCATCAAATGTTCCATGCCGACTCCTCTTCTACGCACGCAGAGAGGGGACAAGACTCAAGGACGCGACGAAATTGCAGCAAGATGGCGAAGATGCACAACCTTTGCAACGATAATTTTTAATTTTTTTTAAGTTGCAGAACCGCCCAGAGACAAACGAGGCGCCTAGCCCTCCCAGGCGGTCGTCTAGGCGCCGCTTAATAGTCTAGTCGACTGATTGAACAATTTTGGTATAATCGGCACAGTGGGCCGTCATCGAGCGCCTAGGCGCCATCTAGGCGGCCGCCTAGTTTGACTTTTAGAACATTAATTAAAATGTGTTGAGCTAACTCAGTGAATATGAATATTATTTTATTAGTAACATCGTAGATCGAATATTTCTTCTTTATTGAGTAGTGGAATAAATGTTACGGTTATACAAAGTTTTAACTTTTTTGATGTCGAAGTTACACGTATATTGCATGCATGGTTTTTAAAATGGACCTTCTTCGACACTTACTTTGATAATTAAAAAAATAAATGTTATGGTTACATAACGTTTAATTTTTCTAATGTCGAAGCTACATGTATAATAATACATGCATTGTTCTTAAAATGGACTTTTTTGACACTTACCTTGATAATTAAAAAAGCAAATGTTACGGTTATACAACATTTAACTTTTCTGATATCGAAGCTACACATATAATGCATGTATAGTTCTTAAAACAGACTTTCTTCAACACTTACCTTGATAGTCAAAAAAGTAAATGTTACGGTTATACAACGTTTAACTTTTCTAATCTTGAAGCTACACGTATAATGCATGCTTGGTTCTTAAAACATACTTTCTTTGACACTTACCTTGACAATTAATGAAATAAATGTTACAGTTACACAACGTTTAACTTTTTATCTCGAAGCTACACGTATAATGCGTGCATGGTTCTTGAAACGGACTTTCTTTGACACTTACCTTGATATAACCAATGAAATAAATATTACGGTTGCTCAGAGTTCAACTTTTCTAATGTCGAAGCTACACGTATAATGCATGCATGGTTTTTGAAACGGACTTTCTTCGACACTCACCTTGATAATTCACGTGACCTTATCTCTATTGTGCTTATCCATTCCAAGGCCTCGCTCTATAAAAATCATCTTTCCCAAGAGGATGTGAAATCACATTTTGTACTGCGCTGTAAGCAACACACATGAGCTGGTGCTTAAAGCCCTTGTTAGAACTTGTGGCACTTACCCAAGTTCATAACAATTCTTGGAAATGGGTGGCATGGGAGGAAGAGAGGAAAGGCACGGATCGATCCTAGAGTCTTCCGGGTAGGTTTGCTGTCGGTGGTGCTCGAGGGTCGGTTTCCAATCCTCTTCTGCACCTTCCAGACTGCGACCTCGACAGCTAACAGAAGACGAGGTGCGGTCCTTAAGGTCATGACTCCAACGTTCTCTTGGAGAAAGAGCCACAAGGTAATATGCAATTTGCATAATTCGGAGGGAGTTATGCAGAAATAAATGAGATTTAAACTCAGAACCTCTTCCAACGAAATGAAGACTCGATTGTAACTGCACGAAATGATCACGGGACAGCTTAATATGTTTGTTGAAATAGTGATAGTTTTCCTAGAAAATGTAAGGTGACGAAGGCGCTACCATCCACTGGTTTTCTTTTTTCTTTGTCATGGGGTAACTCTGAGTTGTCAAGAAACCTAATGAAACGCCACGTAATTTGCTTCTTTGAAGGAAAACCAACCAGTATATTAGATGTACTGCTTGAGGAATACTGGAATAGAATAAAATATTGTATTGTAAATTTGAGTTGGCGCCATGAGCTAATTCAATTAATGAAATGTTTTTCTATCTGTAACATTGTGGATTGAATATTTCTTTTTTATTCATGAGTGAAATAAATATTACGTTTACAAAGTTAAACCGTTCTAATTAATGTCGAAATTACACGTATAATGCTTACTCTATTATATAAGTTATCTTTTGCAACAAGATGTGAAATCACATTTCCTACTGCATTGTAACCAAAAATGGCGAAAACAAAGATATTGTTTGGTAACTATCATGTATGACCTTGTACTAAGGTACATTGAACACTAACATAATATCTGTTCAAACTAAAAGTACACGCAAACTAGAAAACGAAAGGATCCGGCAACAAGTAAACTTTTCGGGTAGCAAACTAGCTCTTCGTATAATTGGCAAGACCCGAAAATGTTTTCCAAGTGTCTTTATCGCCTTCCACCATACAAATAGAGGCGCCTATCAAAAAGATACTTAGCAGGTCTCAGGTCTGCACATTCCTAGAAATTTTGTCGAAATCTGAGCTGAACACCTCCTTCAACCAAATGAAGCATGAGGGTCACTAGACCACTAGGGAATTCCAACGAATCTGTAGATTTCGTTGCAAGCTGGCCAGGCCACTAGAGTTTGACAACCTGATACCATCAAACCCACTAAGAAGTATCAGTTCTTATGCCAATTATTTAGGGATCTAATTCTAATGCCGGCCATTGTAAACTAGAGTCCCAATTGTTACGCTTTATCCCTACACAAAATCTGTAAGTATTGAACTTGTAATATGCTTGCAACATTCTCTCCCAGATGCCAATTTGCTCAGGTTAGGGATTTCTTCTATCACTTGATCCTTGGTCCAACAAATCTCCAAATTCATTGCAACCGCAAGAAAGCAGGCCAATGGAGTTAGAAAACTGATGCTACCGGTACCAAACCCGTTGAGAATTTCGTCAATTCATATGACAATTGTTTCAGAAATGAAGTAATGTAATAAAGAAGAAATGCAAGATAATCTCAGCCGGTGGACTTTTCCAAAACCAAGAAGGAAAAATCCACTTTGGAAGCATTGAACTGAATACAGAACATCTGAACTTTAATATAAACATAGAGCTCGCCTCATTACGGAAACTTATGTGGAACAAGAAGGCTGGTATGGAAAGCTGCAAATCCTCTCCAACTCCATCAAAACCACATACACAGTTGCTTATTTCAGAAGGAACTCCTCTTGCTGATCCTAGCTACTACATAAGCATTCTTGGTACTCTTCAGCACTTAACGTTCATAAGACCGGACATTGCATACTTAGTCAATATAGTATGTCAGTTCATGAATAGACCTACAGATGCACATTTATTTCTGGTCAAGAGAATTCTCAGGTATTTGCTAGAGTGTGGACTCACCTATACACCTTATGTTACTCAAATCCATGGATATTCTGATGCTGATTGGGCAACAGATATTAATACAAGACATTCAATCACTAATTATATTGTATTCATTGGTGACAATCCCATATCTTGGCAATCGAAAAAGCAGCCATCAGTTTCACGAAGCTCAACTGAGGCTGAGTATAAAGCATTGGCAAATTGCACTGCAGATGTATGTTGGATTCGAAACATACTTAGAGATGTGCATGAGAATTTGGATACTCCTCCATCACTACACTGTGATAATATCTCTGCACTTGCATTGAGTACAAATCATGTCTTCCATTTGAGGATAAAACATATGATACGAATTATCACTTTGTTCGAGAAAGAATGCAAAAGAAGGATGTGACAATTCATTACATCCCTACTGAGAATCAAGTAGCTGATGTTCTTACAAAGGGTTTACATAGTCCAGTCTTCATTAAACATTGTTACAATCTCAGACTTGGTTATCCTCGTTGTGATTGAGGGGGAGTAACAACCAATAAAACTGAAATGTCATATGCCATTTCCTGATTGGGTTAGTTAGAATTGTTGGTATGATGTAATGAGTTAGTTAGAATAGTGATGAGGTGTGCTGCTACATAGACATAGTTTGTTACCATTGCTTAGTATAAATACCCTGTAATAATTCTATTTTCTCTTAATGAACTCATTTCAGCTTCTTACATTTTCTCTCTCATTTCGCTCTCTCTCTCTAAAACTCTCTCTCAATCTTTCTCTGTGAGTTCATAGTGTTCACCAATGGTAATGTTTCAGTTCTGTTAATAATAGTCACAGCATGCCTTATAAGTAAAATCGTCACCCAACATCTTAAAAGTTAAAATTACAACATTAATTTCACTTTAAGCAAAACGATGGCCGGCTTCAGAAATTACCAGATAAATTATTATATATCTCCACACGAATAACTTGTATTAAATACAATCTGTATTATGTTTCTTCCAAAAGTGTAATAAAGTGCAAGAATAAAAATTGTATTCCATTACTTAATCATCATGGAATGGATCGGAATGACTTTTATAATTCCATTACAAATTTACAACGCTTGGAATAAAAGAATAAAACATCCAATCTTTACTTCTAATTTTCTTACTATGACAAATTACATGGACATCAGCAATATATTAACAAAAACAACGAGGAGATTTGTTGTATCAAGCACGTGCTCATTCGTCTTGTCGCATTCAAGCTTTTATGGTCTTCAAAGAGGCCATGAGTTTAAATCTTGTACATGACAGTTAGCGAAAATCCAAAAAAAAATTCTTTCATAGATGCTGTTCATCGCCATCACCACAACTACACATGCCCTCTGCTCGGTCTTTGATGGTGGCTGGAGTCGTGACCCTTGAGGATTAGCAGATAGCTGCTCCTCATCAGCTGCCAAGATCAAGCTATCGTCTGGTGAAGACATCAAGGCAAATGAGGAATAACAGCTTCTTTGCTAGAGAAAACAAATCCTCCGGCAGCGTCGACGTCGCAACCGTCTGAAGAATCTAGGATACAGAGGTTGTGAATCAGCATCTACCTTCCCTTCTTTCTCCCATGCCACCCATTTCTAGAAATTGTTACAAACTTGGATAAACAACACGAGTTCTAACAAAGGACTTAAGCACCACCAGTCCATCTCTGTATGTTACAATGCAATAAGAAATGCGATTTCTCACCTTGTTGGGAAAGATGATTTATAGAGCAAGGCCTTGGAATGGAAAACCAAAAGAGAGAGATGGTCACACTGATTATCAAGGTAAGTTTCAAAGAAAGACCGTTTCAAGAACTGTGCATGCATTATACGTGTCGCTTCGACATCAGAAAAGTTAAATTTTGTGTAACTGCAACATTTATATCACCAATAAATATCAGATTAAAGATTCGATGCACAATGTTACTTAGAAATAGTATTTGATTGCCAACGGGGGTTGGCTCAGTTGGTAAGGTCCTTGACTTTTGTGTGGCACCACCAAGGTTCGAGTCTCACTGCCAACAAATTTCGTTGGTACATGATCGGTAAATTCCTATGTAAATCCATATCAGTGGCAGTTGGCATTTAGGCACCACGCGTAAGTCCTTCTGGCTCGAGGTTGTGGGTATTAGACCTGACAATTTCTTATACGACCCGTTAACGAGACACGTAAACAAGACGAAAATAGCAGGTTTCGGGTCGACTAGATAACTAATCGGGGTCGTTATCGGGTTATACGATAACAACCCGTTAATAATGGGTCATTAACAGGTTTACAGGAGAGTGACACGTGGGTAACCCGTTTCTTCACGTTAAGAAAAATGTTATTTTGATGATTTTAAATATTTAAATTTTAAACTACCAAAAAAACTTACTATAAAATACAATAGTAGTGTATATGTATATAAAAACATGTAATTAGATAATTGGACTCACTCCTAAAAACCATCTATGTTTTTGGACCTAGATCTAAAAGCCCCTATATTGTATATCAAATATGTATTATTGTATTATTATTTTATATAAATTTAAAAAAAAAATTGAGCTTTTATTTATTTAGTTACTTTTATAGTATAATATAGACAAAGAGTGAGATTAAAAAATTATAAAACACATTAAAAAAAAAAATATCAAGTAATTTAAAAATACCAAACACATTAAAAAATTATAATAATTAATTTAAAAGCGTGAAAATTATGAAAAAATGGGCAAACCCTTGTGATCGTATCCTCTACGCTTTGAGGACGGATGCATAGCTGTTTGAATCTTTGGAACCATACAACCCTCATTAATAGTATTTTTAAGGGGATTCAAAATAAATAAAATTCATAATCATTAATGTACATGTTTGAAAAAAGTGAAAGCATATATAAATGCTTGTGATTGCATTCTCAACCTTGCACGCAATTCCCTTCATTTTGCATATCCTTGAACATTTGGTATTTTGTAGTAATGTACTAATGTTTTTTTCATTAGACTCTTATTTTGGGATATGTAATATTTGAAAGACAAATGTTTTTTTATGTTTTGAAGTAATATTTATGTGGTAATATAGTATGCATATACTAATTTAGTATTATGTTTTCCTTTTTTTTTTTTTGGTCAAATACATTTTGCATTTTCATTATTTATTGATTTAAAATATATTTTCTTTAACGGGTAACGGGTCGAGTTATATTATCTGATAATATTAAATGATCAATTTTAGATCGGCTCATATTTTCCTTTTACTTTAACGGGTGTTACACAATGCGACCCGTTAAGATATATGGGTATGTCACGAAAATGACATGAACACGAAAAACATGACACGAATGCCAGGTCTAGTGCTCTGGCGCTGGTGGTGAGAGTAACCAATCTCCTCTTAAACGTTTTGTTACCTACAAAAGAAAAAGAAATAGTATTCGATTAATTGAGTTAACTCAACTCATTTTAAAGAACTTTTCGAACATGATTATATACGTTGCTATTTTACTCAAACTGTAACACGTAAAATTATTTTTTAATTAATATTTATTAGAAGTAGGACATAGCAACTGTGTTGTCGATTAACATGTTAATGGTACAACTTGTGTTCACGGTACCTAAAATTTTTCTCTATTTTAAGCTTCTAGTGTCAACTCAAACAAATTAATTATATATTTAGATCCATGTGGCAAGCAAGACTTGAGCAGTATCACTTTTAAAGCAACTCAATACCTTTTTTTTTTTTTTTTTTTAAGAAAAACTAATGAAGAATACTTGAAAACTTTAAGTTTTAACGATAAGGATAAAATAAAAAGTAAAATGAACAGTATCAGGATTGATTTTTTAGTGTAAAAATATGGTTTTTGTTAAAGTAAACAGTATCAGGATCACAACCATATTTTTAGAAAAATTTTCCTCCGCCGCACGCGCCGCCACGCGCCGGCCACGCGCAGGCACGTGTGGTGCACACGGACGGCGTCAACTGCCACATCACCCAGAGGTGTGATCCTTATATGTATATCTCATCCTTACCTAGCACGAGGCCTTTTGGGAGCTCACTGGTTTCGGGTTCCGTAGGAACTCTGAAGTTAAGCGAGAAGAGGGCTTGAGCAATCCCATGATGGGTGACCCACTGGGAAGTTGCTCGTGAGTTCCCAAAAACAAAACCGTGAGAGAATGGTAAGCCCAAAGCGGACAATATCGTGCTACGGTGGTGGAGCGGGCCCGGGAAGTGGTTCCGCCCCGGGCCGGGATGTGACAATTTGGTATCAGAGCCTAACCCTGGCCGTGGTGTGTCGACGAGGACGTCGGGCCCCTAAGGGGGGTGGATTGTGACATCCACATCGCCCAGGGGTGTGATCCTTATATGTATATCCCATCCTTACCTAGCACGAGGCCTTTTGGGAGCTCACTGGCTTCGGGTTCCGTAGGAACTCTGAAGTTAAGCGAGAAGAGGGCTTGAGCAATCCCATGATGGGTGACCCATTGGGAAGTTGCTCGTGAGTTCCCAAAAACAAAACCGTGAGGGAATGGTAAGCCCAAAGCGGACAATATCGTGCTACGGTGGTGGAGCGGGCCCGGGAAGTGGTCCGCCCCGGGCCGAGATGTGACAATTTGGTATCAGAGCCTAACCCTGGCTGCGTGTGTGCCGACGAGGACGTCGGGCCCCTAAGGGGGGTGGATTGTGACATCCCACATCGCCCAGGGGAGTGATCCTTAAATGTATATTCTCATCCCTACCTAACACGAGGCCTTTTGGGAGCTCACTGGCTTCGGGTTCCGTAGGAACTCCGAAGTTAAGCGAGAAGAGGGCTAGAGCAATCCCATGATAGGTGACCCACTGGGAAGTTGCTCGTGAGTTCCCAAAAACAAAACCGTGAGGGAATGGTAAGCTCAAAGCGGACAATATCGTGCTACGGTGGTGGAGCGGGCCTGGGAAGTGGTTCCGCCCCGGGCCAGGATGTGACAATTACAAACTGCCCCGTCCCATTGTTTAATATAAAACTTTATTTTTTACAATGTCTCCAATCTTGATTTTAATCTCACTTTTATCTTGAAATTAAAATGTTGCTACTTTTAACGCTCTAAAATTCAAAAAAAAAAAATTACGAAAAAGAAAAAAGAAATCAAACTTTTAGATTGCCGTTATGTAAATGGGCATCCGGTCCTCATCGTTGACGGACGACACATGACAAATTACGCGGGGGCAGAGTAGCGCAGAGGGATGTACATTCCAACAAGAATCGCAGCCAGAATTCCCCTACTCACCTCTCCTTCGCTTCCCTCCTCCTCCTCCCTCCGCAGCTTCTCCTCTTCATTCTCTCACCACCGTCAGTCAGTCAGTCTCTCTCTTTCTTGCACACCCATATTGAGTAAGAAATCAAACATATCAAACTCACCTATTTCTTCTTCTTTTTCTCCAGGCGTGCGCAAATTGGGTAATTTAGCGCCAACAGCGCACATCAGTAGATTGAAACGCTGCGCTGCGAAGACGATGGCTTGGAGTTTGGAGAAGAGCGACGCGGGCGTTGAAACCCACTTGGGGGTGGTCCGGCCGGCCACTGAAGCTCACGCTGAAGAGGCCGTCGGAGCTCTCAGAGCGGGAAAAGTCATTGCCGTCCCCACCGATACGCTATACGGCTTCGCTTGTGATGCTTGGTATGGAATCAACCCTATGCACTCCACCTGTTTGTTTAAATGTCTCTGTGTCTAAAACCCTGTTTTTCGTTTTCCGATATCGGTATAGTGCTCTTGTTTTTGTTATGATGATATATAAGAAAGCCCATACTTTTGTGTAATTTTGTAACCCATCCCTGAAACTGTGGAGAATAATTGCAGCTCTTTAGAAGCAGTGAACCGGATATATGAGATTAAAGGACGTAGGCATACAAGTCCTCTTGCAGTTTGTGTTGGGGATGTTCCAGACATTGAGCGGTTTGCTGTCACGGACCATTTGCCCCATGGCTTGCTTGAGGCTCTCCTTCCAGGACCCGTGACCCTTGTACTAAGCCGAGGTATAGCGACAGAACAGAAATTTCTGTATTCAAGAAAAAAGAAAGTATTAAGATTTTTTTTTCTGATAGACACCACCATTTGATTGATGCTTGATATCAATAGGGTTGATTTCGTTTCGGCTTTGTCACTTTCACTTTCAGTGTTAAATAAGAAAAGCTAGTTTGGGTATTTTGCAGGGGAGTCAAGTATTCTTGAGAAGTCTTTAAACCCAGGATTGGAGAGTATAGGAGTCCGAGTACCCGACTGTAACTTCATCAGGGACATTGCACGCAAATTGGGGAGTGCATTGGCCCTTACAAGTGCAAACCTAAGTGGGCAGCCAAGTAGTGTTTCCATCAAAGATTTTGAGAATCTCTGGGAACACTGTGCGTACGTTTACAATGGTGGTGTGCTTCCTTCAGGCCGTGCAGGCTCAACAGTTGTGGACCTCACCAAACTCGACAGGTACAAGATTCTTCGACCCGGAAGGTAAGAATCCCATTGACTACGCTACCTTTTCTGTGATGTAAATGGCTGGGAAAATGAAAATATATGACATTATTGTTGTGGTTTGTTATTTAAATCTAGAAGAAGTCCTTAAGAAAATAATAGTTAACAGCTCATTAGACATGAAGTACAGCTGAAGTATAACATATGGTGTATTTTGTCTCATCAATGCATTCTATTTATGGGAAATTTATTAAGTTTGTTTAGTACTCACTAGTCACTACATACGCAAAGATGACAGTAATAAACTAATAATTGGTCTAATGATGCCTTTTCTGCCGTTGAATTTAACAAAATTGTCGGGATAGCTATCGGTAATAATCATTTTTCTCCAGTTTTAAAATGCAAATATGTTTAGGATTCTTTTGATCGATCAAATCCTGAATGTTGCTCTTTAGATATGTCTTCTTCATATCCTCTTGTTTCTTTTTGCTTTGGGCATGCTGAGCTTTAGTACAACCAGGTTCGAGTGGTGTAAATATTCCTTGCTTTGCCTTTGCAGTGCGAGAGACGAAACTGTTGCAATTCTCGGAAGGTTTTCTCTTGAGGAAGAAGGAACCGCTACTTAAACCCACATGTATTGCAAATTCCATGATTTACATGCCTTAATGGCTGTGATCTGGGCAGCTGGAAGGTATGAATCGATGATATATACACACTTATAACCCGGAATTGAAGCAAATTTGTGATTGTAGAATCCTTTTGTTTTTGTAATTTTATATGACCTGAAGCGATCGATGAAGTTTGGATATAAGTTAGATTGGTTAAGTTCATTCACCACTAAGCTATTATCTCAAGTTCTGTTATATTTTAATACTTTTATATTTTGATACGAATTATTTTGTATCAGATGTATTTCAAATTTGTATTTCTGCAAGTATATATAGGTGTTAGGGGAGAGCAACTATATGGAACAGATTCATCGTCATGTAGCTTCCCAATCCAATAATATATTACCATGTGGAGAAAAAATTGCACTTAACAATGTATTATTGGATACAAGACGTCACATGGCAATGAATTCATTTCATGTAAGTCCCCATGTCTGGGAGATACTAGTGACAACGTCGTTTCACTTCTAGGCCTCTTGGGCAAGCCATGTTGGTACAACGTTATTTCCTTATGATATCGTGTCAAATTTGTAAGTGGAGGCTGTCATATTCACGAGCACAATAATATGGTCATGAGGACGTAATACGACATGATAACACGATTCAAGCTCAATATTATTCTTTAATCACATTTATTAGTCTTACGAACCCGGGTTAGCACTGGCACAGAAAAACGACACTTTTTCAAACTTCTTCACAAACCAACATGATGTATCAAATTCTGACCGATGGATGGTTATTTTAAAGTTTCGAATCCTCCAACTAAGATATGAATTGATTTAGACAAATCTTTTTCGTTTCATTTTAATTTTTTAGATTTTAAAAGTATAAGCGTCTTTGTTTGCCCGTGAATAAATTTCTGTAGGAATCATAACTGTTCCAAAAGCCATTGGATATTCAATACTGCCCCCAACTGAAACATAAAAATAAAAGAAAACTAATGAAAATGACTTGAAAAACTATAAGTTTTAACGAAAATGACAAAAAGGTGTAAGTGAATAGTACCATAATTGACTTTTTAAAGTAAAAATGTGGTTTTTCGTTAAAATGAATAGTACCGGGAGCTTTTTGTTAAAGTTCCCTAAAAATAATGAAGGTGGATTTGAAAGTGCTAACCTGAAACACTGGTAAATAGCTTGGCATATAACTAACAAAACATAGAAGGTAAAAACAACTGAAGTGAAGCCACTTAATACTACAGTCTAGTGGTATTCCTCTTCACTTGTAAGTGAGAGGTCTTAGGTTCGATTCTCACCAAAGGCGAATTTGAACCACATTATTGTTAGTCCATTATGATGTTAAGTCCACTCCCTCCTGTAGATAATATAGTTTCCTCCAAAAAAAAAAAACAACTGAAGAAACGTAATTTTTGAAGTTTTTGAAAGTATCATCTATCAACCAACGTGAAAGGATTCATCTCCTGAAAAGTGAAGTCCAAAGACAAAGTCCTTGAGTTCTGCTTTCATGGGCGCTTTCTTCTAATTGGTATATATCTATATTTGTTGAAAAGTCTAAAACTTCTGTTGGCAATGAATGCCCACAAAGCTAAAGTCATCTGCATGGGCAAAGTTTTCAATGCCCATGCTGAATGAAAGTGTCAGAGGTACATTTTAAATTTCAAGATGCATTAACTGCATCAGTTCGAGTTGCTCTATAAATAGAGCACTCGCATGTAACAGATGATAGATGAAGAAGAAATACAAGAGAGAAATATCAATAACATCATATATTCCTCTGCCTTTTATTATCTGTCTGTGCTATAGTTTTTGTGTGGCATTTTACATCTACCTTGCACCTACCACTTAAAAAGGTTATCTCTCAAACTTTAACCCTTTTATAACACGTTATCAGCACGAGTCTCTAAATATATTTATTCTCTCATCTCTCTTCGCCGAACGAACGAAAGAAAGAAAAAAAAAAAAATGTTTCCTTTAAGGTTTTTACTGTTCATCTTCTTCCTCTGCCTCAACTGCGCCGTGTACCCTCGCGACGAGTTGTTTGCTCCATGCCTGCTCATAGTTCTCCAACTAACGGTTACATACATTTTTGATTACTTGTTTGGTGTAGAGATTGATTACTAACCTAGTATTTATTTGTGTTAATTCTACTGCAATCCAAGATGGTGCGGTACAATCGCCCATCTTGAACTGCAAATTTAATCTTACTGCGATCCAAGACGGTGCGGTATCATCGCCTATCTTGGACTGCAGATTTAATTTTACTGCAATTTTTAGGTGGAGCGGTATAATCGCACACCCTACCCTGCATATTCGAATTTACCTGCTGTTTAATTTCATTGCAATTTTATGTGGTGCGGTATAATCGCCTACGCTGCTCTGCATATTTAATTTTCCTGTTACTTGAGTGGTGCGAAATAATCGCCCATTCTATATTACATTATTTCAATGAGAATGGTGCGGTACGATCACCCTCCTCATTCACCCTGAAAATCTCGAGCCAGAAGTTTCGAGTGCTTATCATTTTGGCCTGAAGATCAAAATGAAAAATTTGTAAAAACCAGAAGTTCTAACATCATATTCCTCCAGGAATACATATTATTGCAAGTTCTTACACATCTCATTTTCTTTCAGAAAAGAAAATGGCGAACTTGGCGAAGCTTGAATTTGCTGCCCTGGATATTACTGGGAAGAATTATCTGACCTGGGTACTGGATACCAAGATCCATCTGGAAGCAGGGAATCTTGGAGATACCATCAGGGAAGAGAGCAACTCATCCTCTCAAGATCGGGCAAAGGCCATGATTTTCATTCGCCGCCATCTTGATGAGGCGCTAAAGAGCGAGTACTTAACGGTTGAAGATCCGTTAGCTCTCTGGAATGCCTTGAGAAGCAGATACAATCACCAGACAACGGTGATTCTTCCAAGGGCCCGCTATGAGTGGACTCATCTAAGGATTCAAGACTTCAAGTCAGTGGCAGAATACAATTCTGCATTGTTCAGAATTACCTCTCAGATGAAGCTCTGTGGGGATATTATTACTGAGGAGCATATGCTGGAAAAGACTCTCAGCACATTTCATGCCTCCAACGTGCTCCTGCAGCAGCAGTATAGAGCGCGAGGCTACACTGAGTACAACCAGCTGATATCTGTGCTCTTAGTAGCTGAACAGAATGATGAGCTCCTGATGAAAAACCATCATTCCCGACCTACTGGATCTGCACCATTCCCAGAAGTGAATGCTGCTTCCCTCGGAGTGAACACCACATCCTCTGGTGGTGATAATCATAAACGAGGACGTGGCCACAAGCGAGGTCGATGGAATAGGAAAGGCAAGAACCATGGAGTTCAGTTTCATAACCAGGTTCCCAGGAATAATTCAGGCCCGAGCTTCAAAAATGTGAATCGCCACAAAGGCAAAGCTCATATGAACAATGCTCCTAGAAACTCTGAAGGAGCCTGCCATAGGTGTGGTGGCAATGGGCATTGGGCGCGTACTTGTCGTACCCCAAAACATCTAGTGGATCTGTATCAAGCCTCCCTCAAGGAGAAGGGTGTCGAGACTAACTTTCTCGACGAGGCTAGACCAATGGATATACCTGATCCAGTGTTTGACTTATCAGGGCAGTTGAACACAACTCATCTAGATGTTTCAGACTATATTGTAGAAAGGGGAAATGAAGTATATCGGTCCGATTGAATCATTAATGTACTTTTATTATACTGAACTTGTAGTATTCTCAGATTCAATAAAAGTGGCATGTAAATTTTCTTGTTATAACTTGCTTTTAATTCTGATTCTCTTACTCAGAGAGCATGGATAAAAACTGTGGTTATTCTCAGAACATGAGAAATGGTGGAGATATTTGTCTTGCAGACAGTGCAACCACACATACAATACTTCGTGATCGAAAGTATTTCTCAAGCTTAATACCTACAAGAGTAGGGGTAACAACAATATCAGGACCTTCAGATGTAATTCAAGGTTCAGGGCAAGCCCAGATTATGTTACCAAATGGAACAATATTGTCCATACATAATGCATTGTATGCTACTCGATCTACTCGAAATTTGTTGAGTTTCAAAGACATACGTCTAAATGGATACCACATTGAAACAAAAAGTGCAGAAAATGTGGAGTATCTATGCATTACCTCCAATGATACCCAGAAGCGTATATTGGAGAAGTTGCGTGGTATGTCGAGTGGATTATATTATACATACATAAGGACAATTGAATCACATACTGTCATGAACCAGAAGTTCATTGATTCAAAGGTTTACATGCTTTGGCATGACCGTCTGGGTCATCCAGGATCTACCATGATGCGTAGGATCATTACCAACTCTAATGGACATCCATTAGTGAGCAGACACATTGTTGCCTCAAATGATAACCCTTGCAAAGCTTGTTCTCAAGGGAAGTTGGTAATTAGACCATCACAACTAAAGGTTGATGCTGAATCCCCATCATTTCTGCAAAGAATTCAAGGGGATATTTGTGGGCCTATTCAACCATCATGTGGACCATTTCGATATTTTATGGTTTTGGTTGATGCATCTACCCGATGGTCACATATTTGTCTCTTGTCTACTCGGAATGTAGCCTTTGCGAGACTACTTGCTCAAATAATTAAGTTACGAGCACAGTTCCCAGATTATCCCATTAAGTCAATCCGACTTGATAATGCTGGTGAATTTACGTCTCAAACCTTTGATGATTATTGCATGACATTGGGCATTGATGTTGAACACCCTGTTCCTCATGTCCATACTCAAAATGGTTTAGCAGAAGCATTGATTAAGCGGCTTCAGTTAATAGCTCGCACTCTGCTCATGAAAACCAAATTGCCAGTCTCTGCATGGGGACATGCCATCCTACATGCTGCATCATTGGTTCGATTGAGACCTATAGCCAACCATCAATACTCTTCAGTACAACTCGTGTTTGGACATCAGCCAAACATTTCCCATTTACGAGTTTTTGGTTGTGCTGTTTATGTGCCTATTGCACCGCTGCAACGCACTAAAATGGAACCTCAGCGTAGACTGGGAATTTACGTGGGTTTTGATTCACCATCTATCATTAGATATTTGGAACCCTTGACAGGTGATATGTTTACAGCTCGTTTTGCTGATTGTCACTTTGATGAGACAATTTTCCCGTTGTTAGGGGGAGAAAAGACCGTTCCAGAAGAACGGAAAGAGCTGACATGGGTTGTTCCCACCTTGTCTCATTTTGATCCTCGCAACATTCAATGTGAAAATGAAGTGAGAAGGATCGTTCATCTTCAAAGCATTGCCAATCAAATGCCAGATGCATTTAATGATGCTATGAAAGTGACAAAATCAAATATACCAGCTGCAAATGCACCTGCAAGAATTGATGTCCCTGTTGGACAAAATAAAGTGGCAGCAAATGATTCATCTGGTGCACGCCTGAAGCGTGATAGACCTCCAGGTTCAAAAGATTCAGCTCCTCGAAAGAGAAAGTCGAGGGCACAACTGAATCCAAATGAAATCATTCAGGAAGAGAAAATGAATGATACATCCACAATTCATAATTCTGGACTTCCAGAAAAAGAAAATGTCCTTGATGAGACATCTGTCCCTGAAGAGACAGAAGTACATGAAAGCAAAGAAATCTCCATAAATTATGCATGTACAAATGAATTGTGGGATCGGAATGAAATAATCATTGATGATATGTTTGCATTTGCAGTAGCCACTGAAATCATCTTAAGTGATGATATTGAGCCCCGCTCTGTTGATGAATGCAAACAGAGACAGGATTGGCCTAAGTGGAAAGATGCAATCCAGGCAGAATTAAATTCATTGGAAAAGCGGAATGTTTTTGGACCAGTAGTCCAAACCCCGCCTAGAGTAAACCCCGTGGGTTACAAATGGGTATTCACAAGGAAACGCAATGAGAAAAACGAGATCGCAAGATACAAAGCACGACTCGTTGCACAAGGTTTTTCTCAAAGACCTGGAATTGATTATGAGGAGACATACTCTCCTGTAATGGACGCAATTACGTTCCGTTACTTAATAAGTTTAGTGGTTTCAGAAAGACTTGACATGCGACTTATGGATGTCATCACTGCGTATCTATATGGAGAATTAGATACTGACATCTATATGAAAGTCCCATAAGGACTTAAGTTGCCTGAAACAAGTAATAAACCACGAGGTATGCTCTCGATCAAATTAAGGCGATCATTGTATGGTCTGAAGCAATCTGGACGAATGTGGTATAATCGTCTCAGTGAGTATTTGATCAAAGAAGGGTATATCAACAATGTTATTTGCCCTTGTGTGTTCATTAAGAAATCCAATTCTGGATTCGCTATAGTAGCAGTATATGTTGATGATATGAATCTAGTTGGGACTCCTGAAGAGCTCAATAAAACTGCTGAATATCTGAAAAGCGAATTTGAAATGAAAGACCTTGGAAAAACAAAATATTGTCTCGGCCTGCAGATCGAGCATTGTGCTAGTGGAATTTTGGTCCACCAATCAGCTTACATTGAAAAAATTCTGAAGCGATTTGGTATGGACAAGGCTTATCCACTAAGCACGCCAATGGTTGTTCGTTCTTTGGACATTAAGAAAGATCCATTTCGTCCAAAAGAAGATGATGAGCTGGTCCTTGGTCCAGAAGTACCATATTTGAGTGCAGTAGGTGCTTTGTTGTATTTAGCACAATGTACTAGACCAGATATAGCTTTTTCAGTTAATTTGTTAGCAAGGTATAGCTCTGCTCCAACAATTCGTCATTGGAAGGGTATCAAAGATGTATTGCGATACCTTCGTGGGACAGCAGACATGGGTCTCTTCTACTCAAAGAACTCCACAGATGACCAGGTCCTTGTTGGATATGCAGATGCTGGCTTTCTCTCTGATCCGCATAAAGCCCGCTCACAAACTGGATATGTGTTTAAGAATGGAGATACAGCAATCTCATGGCGCTCAACCAAGCAAACATTAGTTGCTACATCTTCAAATCATTCAGAAATACTTGCTTTACATGAAGCAAGTCGTGAATGTTCTTGGTTAAGATCAATGATCCATCATATCCGGAATTCATGTGGTCTAACTTCGAAGACAGACAATCCAATTGTCATCCATGAAGATAATGCAGCTTGTGTTGCCCAAATGAAGGAAGGATTCATCAAGGGCGATAAGACTAAACACATATCTCCAAAGTTTTTCAGTGCTCATGAGCTTCAGAAGGCTAAAGTTATTGAAGTCAGACAAATCCGTTCAAATGAAAATCTGGCAGACTTGTTCACCAAATCTCTACCAAAGTGCACATTTCAGAAGTTAGTGCAAGGCATCGGATTACGTCGACTTACCAAACAGCTAAATTTGGAAAATGCGGAATCAGGGGGAGAAACATATCAGGGGGAGTATCCATGATACATGCTTGTTGTACTCTTTTTCCTTCGATTAGGATTTTTCCCACTGGGTTTTTCCTATCAAGGTTTTAACGAGGCAACATAAGCATACTTGACACTATATCAACGATCCAGGAAAAGTTGTACTCTTTTTCCTTCGCTATGGTTTTTTCCCACTGGGTTTTTCCAAGCAAGGTTTTAACGAGGCAACTCATGTTGATATGTGGGCATCCAAGGGGGAGTGTTGAAAAGTCTAAAACTTCTGTTGGCAATGAATGCCCACAAAGCTAAAGTCATCTGCATGGGCAAAGTTTTCAATGCCCATGCTGAATGAAAGTGTCAGAGGTACATTTTAAATTTCAAGATGCATTAACTGCATCAGTTCGAGTTGCTCTATAAATAGAGCACTCGCATGTAACAGATGATAGATGAAGAAGAAATACAAGAGAGAAATATCAATAACATCATATATTCCTCTGCCTTTTATTATCTGTCTGTGCTATAGTTTTTGTGTGGCATTTTACATCTACCTTGCACCTACCACTTAAAAAGGTTATCTCTCAAACTTTAACCCTTTTATAACAATATTTGTTTTTTCAAGTTTGGGAGCCACCAATTCTGGTTCAAGGGCTTCGATGAGTAGACTAGAGCGTGTACGGAAGCGCGTGGGCAGCAATTTGAGTTGTAAGCCCAGCAGTTTAGTTTGTTACGTTGTTGTCTTCCGGCGGAATATGCCAATACGGTGTATGCAAGATTCCTAGTTGTGCTTGCTCTTTGGCATCAAAACGTAGAGAACTCATGCTCGTTCATTCTCTCCAAATTACGCATTTAGTGACGGGTTAATTTTTTTTTGGATAAATCACATTTTACCACCTCACCTTGGATTACATAACAAATGCATTTCTCATTTTTTAAACATTACAATGTTATACATCAACTTACGATTTACTGCAATATTAGACATCTGTTAAATTTTCTGTCAATCTGGTCGTTAAATGATGATGTGGTAGGCGTAGGGTACACTTTCTCAGCCAAATTTTGAAAAATAAAAAATGACAAATTACATTTTACCACCTTAACTTTGAACCACGTAACAAACGCATACCTCATATTTTGAACACTGTAATATCATACGTCAACTTACAAATTCGTTGCAATGTCAAACCTTATTTTCTTATCTGTTAACTGCTGACATTGGCATATGCCCACTCCCTTGCCTACTGGGACTCCACACTGTTGACATGTCGAAGCTAGCGAACAAGTTCAATGTAGATTCGAGAGAGAACGAGCACCAAATGCCGCCGTCCCAACCGAGCGTGTTGTCTTCGTCGTCGATGGAGTCGTTCGAGTTGGAGTGAGCACTTCTGGATATGTAGGCGAAGCGGGAGATGCAGACGTTGAGAAAGTAGGAAGCGAATAGGAAGCCAGATCAGAAGAAAAGTCAAGGACGGAATGATTCCCCAGCGGAGAAGCAGCCGACAGTGAAGAAAGAGAGAACATAGACGAATGTGAATTTGAATTTGCGCTATCCGGTTCAACAATGGGGTCAGTACCCGTACTCACCGGTTTAGCAAATGATATTATATATTTACTGAATGGGACCAGCCACACTCCCCCGTTGACAACCAAGTAGCATGGAGTTTCGGTAGGCGAAGGAGTAGGCCTTGCGCCTATCACGTCAGCAATTAATATAGAAAAATTCATGAACAAGGAAACGAAGTCTGACTTTGCAATGAATTTGTAAAGTTATATACGGCATTGCAATGTTCAAAATATGAAATATGTATTTGTTATAAGACCCAAAGTTGAGATGGTAAAGTGTAATTTACTCTTTGATAAGAGAGTGAGGCGTGCGTCTAAAATGTCATCATTTAACGACTAAATAAACAAAAAATTTAATGAAAATGTGACATTGCTATGAATTGTAGGTTAATGTACCCAAAAAATGATTTCACGGCAAGTTTACACGTTCTAAAAAAAACACATGCACAACAAACATGGACAAGCTTTGATTGCATCGTTATGGCGTTGGTTCCATGGCGCATAGATCATTAGACGTTATATTTAATGCCACTACCTACCACACTAAAATTATGATTGGTGATTTCATTTGTTTACCCTACAAACCTATACCTTTTCTATGCATATCAAATTTAATCTGCACTAAATCTCAATGAAATGGTTTACTGTTCATAAGCAAATTGTGCTTCCAAATTGCTTTCGTATTTTTATGTTGATACCGATTGTGGTCCCTGAAATCCCGCCATATGTATACGTTTTTCTTCCTAACTCCCTTCTCTCTTGAGGTTTTGTGGAGGAAGAAGGCTGAAAATTACTAAGAAGAGTAGCACACGCAATTATTAATGGCTTCGTGCTTTGTATGGTTAGACGACTTATTAGATACCAAGATTAAACATTTACCAGAAAAATAGATACCAAAACAAATGGTTTTGTCCATATCCTTCCAGCCCGGAAAATCCACAAATTGGTACAAATTCAACCATTGAAAAACAAATTTCCAAAAATCCATTGACAACTCCCTTCTCTCACTCCCCATCCCACCACCAAAGTTTCCAGCTTCTGGAGTTCCAGAGCCTTCTTCTTCCCCCTCTCACTCTCAGCTGCTCTGACTGATCATCTCCACACATCACTCAAGGTAAACAGAAAAAACCCATCAGCACAATGACCAGCACGCTAAGTGTCCACCAATTGAGCATCCTTTTGAGCACTCTGGTTGTTGGTTTTGTAAAAACGCTTTCTATGTTTGTTGATTTTGTAAAAACGCTTTTTGGGTTTTGAATAGCACTCTGGTTGTTGATTGTTTTAAGGTAATATTTTGTGATTTTATGCAAAATTTGATCAGGAAAGTAGAGAATTCAGTTGGTGTGAATGTGATTAGGTGGTGGATTGGTTAGGTGTTTTCCGCTCTGGGAAAGCTGAGAAATTTGTGAGGAAGATCATTGTTTTGAAGTTTCTTTAGCTGCTCAGCTTAAGGAAAGAGTGAATTTGAAAACCCACAAATTCTTTTTCCTGTTTATGTTTTGGTTCATGATTAGTCAAAGTGCTTGTCTTGACATGTTAATTCTGAATTTTGATGTATAAAATGATGAGTTAACTGAATTTGTAGCAAATTGTGCTTTTGAATTGTGAAGGGTAGAGCCTTGCAGTCGTGGAAATGGCGACCGGAGCTGTACCGGCTTCTTTTACGGGACTGAAATGCAGGGACTCAAGTTTCGGGTTTGCGAAAAGTATGGATTTTGTGAGGGTTTCTGATTTGAAGAGGTTCAAGTCTGGCAGAACAAGAATCTCAGTGATACGAAACTCAAATCCAGGCTCAGATATTGCCGAGCTCAAGCCTGCATCCGAAGGCAGCCCTTTGTTAGGTTGTTGAACTCCCTAATTGGTTTAGTCAGCCTTTGTTTTAATGCATGTGTTGTGTTTTAGTCCTTGAAATTACTTTTGGCAGCTGCAAAAACGGGTGAAAGTAAAGCAGATTGCTATGTTTTCTTTTGCCTTGTTTCTGGGTTTCTCAGAAATGCTGAACAAGAAATAATCGGTAGTTATTATTAGCTGGTTGTAATGTTCCTGTTAATCAATAATTCATTTACATGGTTGGAAATAAATAGCTATTAACTAGAAAGTTGTGAAATAATTGTTTGCTGGATGAGATATATCTATAAAGAAACCCGAGGTAATTGTTATTGTGAAAATGGAATTCTTGCCTAAACTAAGCTAATTGTATTAGGATCAGTCAAACTAAGCCTTGGCTTGATCACTTTTATACAGTTTTCCGAGAGACGAAATGGAATGTAAGGTAGTATATATCAGCCTAATTATGTTTTTCTACCTTTATAAAGTTTCTTTCATATTGTCTAATAATTTTTTTTTTTTTTGTCAATTTAGTTCCTAGGCAAAAGTATTGTGAATCCATACACAAAACTGTCAGGAGGAAAACGTGCACAGTTATGGTTGGAAATGTTGCTATTGGTAGTGAGCATCCCATAAGGATTCAAACAATGACCACAACTGACACAAAGGATGTTGCTGCTACAGTTGAACAGGTTTGATAGTTCCCTTTTTTCATTTATATACTAGTGGATTGACCCAACTTGGTATATCTATGATACCTCTGGGTCTGATTCAGATTGTTGGCATATCAATTTCTCCCTTGTTTGTAGGTAATGAGAATAGCAGATAAGGGAGCAGATATTGTTCGGATAACAGTTCAAGGGAGGAAAGAAGCAGATGCTTGTTTTGAAATTAAAAATTCCCTTGTGCAGAAAAAGTAGGCTTCGTTGGTGTATTTTCAGTGATTAAAGATCTACTGTTTATGTTGTTTAAGGCCTGACCATGTTTCAATCTATGTGTGCAGTTATGATATACCTTTGGTGGCAGATATTCATTTTGCTCCTACTGTTGCACTGCGGGTCGCTGAATGCTTTGACAAAATTCGTGTCAACCCTGGAAATTTTGGTACACAGTTCACTGTTCAATGGTTTTGTTATATTCTATTTGAAGGGAGTGATTGTGGATTCATTTAGGTGTTTTATTGCAGCTGATAGACGGGCCCAGTTTGAGAAGTTAGAGTACACGGAAGATGACTATCAGAAAGAACTTGAGCACATTGAGCGGGTAACCATATATCTATCAGTACATGGCCTCTGCTCGTGTCCACTGTTAAAGGCACACATTAATGTTTGAGAAACTGATGCAGACTTAGATTTTCATTAAAGTTTGATACGTACGTGTGAAATGGTAACTATTTTTTCCAAAAGTGAATTGACTATGAACAAAATAAAATAAAGAGATTAAAGAGGCAAGTATTTTGTAAAGCCTATATTGTTGGGTATCAAACAATCTATTATGTTGATACACAATCATGCTCTAATGTGCTCAGTTTAATGAAAGTTATGTTCTCAACAACGGCAGGTTTTTACTCCATTAGTTGAAAAGTGTAAGAAGTATGGAAGAGCAATGCGTATTGGGACAAACCATGGGAGCCTTTCAGATCGTATAATGAGCTATTATGGGGATTCTCCTCGAGGAATGGTGAGCAAAACATTGTCTTTTTGCTGAAAATAGTTCAAGCTTGTTTGATGTACATACAAACTCATTGGGTGTCATTGACATGTTATTCCTCAACAGGTTGAATCTGCATTTGAGTTTGCAAGAATTTGCCGGAAGTTGGACTACCATAATTTTGTTTTTTCAATGAAAGCAAGCAACCCAGTTATCATGGTCCAGGCATATCGTTTGCTTGTAGCTGAAATGTATGTTCAAGGCTGGGATTATCCATTGCACTTGGGAGTTACTGAAGCTGGAGAAGGTGAGGATGGGCGAATGAAATCTGCAATTGGTATTGGAACCCTTCTTCAGGTACTATTGAATCATTATGTTGAGGTGTTGTGATCGATTCAAAACCAGTAAACATCGTAGGGATTATTCTGATTTATGAAATTATGTGCCAGTAATGCACTATTTTGTTAAGTTGACTTTAAGAATAAGTATTTGCGTACTGCAACTGTGCTTATGACAGATGATAGGCTTATGATAGATGGAAGGTTCGTCTATTGTGTATTTGTCATGTGATCCTGCACTTAGTTCAATAGTCCAATAGATTGAAGCTAATATAAATGCTACTGAAACATTACATTTATAAGTCATGTCTAGCCATAATGGAACACTAGAATTTTGCATGCAGGATGGCTTGGGTGATACAATTAGGGTTTCACTTACTGAAGCACCGGAGGAGGAGATAGATCCCTGCAGACGACTGGCCAACCTTGGTAAGAGAGCAGCGGATCTTCAGCAAGGAGTGGTAGGATTTTACAATCTTCTGTTTGTTGATTCATATTCTTGATCGCTTCTATTTTAGAAATTGAAAGTCTAATCAGCTTTCTTGATGGCATTATTTGTATCAGGCTCCATTTGAAGAGAAGCACAGACATTATTTTGAATTTCAGCGTCGATCTGGTCAACTGCCAATACAAAAGGAGGTTAGCCTAGATCTTGACATTGAATCAATTAGTGCTTCATATTCTTTTTTCTTTAACAGAGATAATGAAGTCGTCAAAACACAGGGTGAAGAGGTGGATTATAGAGGTGTCTTGCACCGTGATGGCTCTGTTCTGATGTCAGTATCCCTTGACCAGTTGAAGGTACAGTTGAAATCATACATCCTTTATTCCATTCTATTGCCTTATTTTTTTTTTTTTGGGCTTGGGTGGAGAAAGTACACTGACCTTTTTGCTTTCGTTATAGACACCAGAGCTCCTGTACAAGTCACTAGCAACAAAACTTGTTCTCGGAATGCCATTTAAGGTCTTGCTATTATTCCATTTTACGCTTCATATTGTACATCATGCAGGTTTACTGGGATTTTCATTTATATAGTTCTGTTAATACAGGATCTTGCAACCGTTGACTCAATCTTATTGAGACAACTTCCACCTGTTGATGATGCGGATTCTGTAAGAACCCTACTGAACTTCATTACTTTGGAAATAATCCTGTTCTCTCTCTCTTGCTCCCCCCACCATTCCCCAAAATTTTATTTACTTCGTAATAAACTGCTTGTGCATTAAGTTCTTTGCAAGAACAAGAATAATGTGACAGTTTTCTTTTTATTATGATCAGCGGCTAGCTCTCAAAAGGTTGATAGATGTAAGTATGGGTGTTATAACACCATTGTCAGAACAGCTAACAAAGCCATTGCCCAATGCCATGGTTCTGATAAATTCGAAGGAGTTATCAACTGGTGCATACAAGCTTTTGCCAGAAGGTGAAGCTTTGTTACCGAATTGAGTACTGAGTACTGATGTTTGAACACATCCCTTTTTTCTGTGTGTGTTGGAGGACGGCTACCCCTGATTTATCTTCTGTATTTTTTTATTGTGAGTTAATTACCTTGTAGGTACACGGTTGGTGGTCTCATTACGTGGTGATGAACCCTATGAAGTGCTGGATATTCTCAAGGGCATTGATGCTACAATGATTCTCCATGATCTGCCCTTCGGTGAAGATAAAATAAGCCGAGTGCATGCTGCGAGGAGGTAATGACTATATAACTCATATAAATCATCAAAATAAAATTTCCATTGTAAGAATGTCAATCTAGAAGGGCATTTTCCTAGGCCCTAGACACTTCAACCAATATGAAATTTGTTTTCTCCGTTCTTTGGGGCTGTTGATTGTTAAATGACAGTCCATGTTTTAACTTCTTGTATTGTTATGCACATCTTTCCTTCTCCTGATAATATGAAGTCTCTGTTTCTGTAGGCTATTTGAGTATCTGGGAGACAATGCTCTAAACTTCCCCGTAATACACCATATTCAGTTTCCAAGTGGAATCCATGGGTAATAACATGATTGACTCTTCCTTCTGTCAGCGATCCATGGTATTAGTACTTCTAGCTTAATTCCACTTTGTGCAGGGATGACTTGGTTATTGGTGCTGGTACCAATGCGGGTGCCCTTTTAGTAGATGGACTTGGAGATGGTCTTCTATTGGAAGCCCCAGACAAGGACTTTGATTACCTGAGAAACACATCTTTCAATTTACTACAAGGATGTAGAATGCGGAATACAAAGACGGTAGGGAGTTTTCTTACGAAATATAACTGAACTTGACATATCATAAGAGAGGATGGTCTTAAACAATCGCTGTACATGCCTAAATTTCATTTCAGGAGTATGTTTCATGCCCATCCTGTGGCCGAACTTTGTTTGATCTTCAAGAAATAAGTGCACAAATACGAGAGAAGACATCACACTTGCCTGGCGTTTCAGTAATTACCTTGTTCTTTAATGATCTTGAATGGTGATTGTCTTTTATTCTCAGTAATCCAATGGTCTGTGTAATTTGTTCTCTATTTCCTTTTTCTAGATTGCGATCATGGGTTGCATTGTAAATGGACCCGGGGAGATGGCTGATGCAGACTTTGGGTATGTTGGTGGCGCTCCTGGAAATATTGACCTCTACGTTGGGAAGGTATTTCCTCCGTCCAGCTTGAAATTTGATATCGGTTTAGTTTGAAGAACATAAACTAAATAATACAGAAGCAGCACTTCAGCTTTATATTAGTCATTGTTATAGTTTGTTTCCAACCTTCAAAAACGTGCGAACCTGATACGAGGTTGAAATGTGTTTCAGACGGTGGTGAAGCGTGGAATTGAGATGGAGCATGCAACCGATGCCTTGATCCAGCTAATAAAAGATCACGGCCGCTGGGTTGACCCTCCTGCGGAAGAGTAAAAGCCGGTAATTTCTGATCATCGCATATTGAAAGTAGAGGGTATTCAAGAGAGAGTTGTCCCACATTATGTTGTATACTCAAGTAGCCACAGTTGAAAACAATAAACGATGACTTGATCTCAAAGAAAATGTGTTGCCTTAAATGTAATCCACAGTGCATGAAATTAGTACCGAGTTGCAGTGCAACGTGCAAAATGTTCATCGTCGATTTACTAAATTAAAACCTTAGGTTTAGCTGCTTTCATGTTGATCATATCGAAGATTGTGCAAGAGTCTGCTTCTGAAGTAAGAACTTTTGATTATAAGCGTTTCCGTTCAAATGTTTTTATTAGACTTTTTCTCCATCTACTCAATACGTGATATACGAAGTTTCTCTTACTTTGCACACATACCGTCGTGGCATTGAACAATTTTTCCTTTTCGTTTGAAAGAAACAATCAACGCTTGCCGTATTTTCCATTTGTTCAAGTTGAAGTTCAACTATCAAGGCTACTGTCGCCAAAGACCATTTATTGCCACCGATTTCGTGGCCTCATTTGCTGCTGCTCAGTCGTCGCAAAAGCATTTTGCGATGGTAAAACCAGCTTTTGCGAACATGAACGAGCCGCAACATGGTATATATTGGCACGAGTTGACAACATTCACAAGAGGCCAAAAGTTGAAAATGCCCGCACTTGCATACCAAATTTATGTCAGTATCTAATTCTCCATATAGATACGCAGTGATGACATCCATAAGTCGCATGTCAAGTCTTTCGAAAACCACTAAACTTAAGTAACGGAACGTAATTGCGTCCATTACAGGAGAGTATGTCTCCTCATAATCAATTCCAGGTCTTTGAGAAAAGCCTTGTGCAACGAGTCGTGCTTTGTATCTTGCAATCTCGTTTTTCTCATTGCGTTTCCTTGTGAATACCCATTTGTAACCCATAGGGTTTACACTAGGCGGAGTTTTGGACTACTGGTCCAAAAACATTCCGCCTTTCCAAGGAATTTAATTCTGCCTGGATTGCTTCTTTCCACTTAGGCCAATCATGTCTCTGTTTGCATTCATCAACAGAGTGGGGCTCAATATCATCACTTAAGATGATTTTAGTGGCTACTACGAATGCGAACATATCATCGATGATTATTTCATTCTGATCCCACAATTCATTTCTACATGCATAATTTATGGAGATTTCTTTGCTTTCATGTACTTCTGCCTCTTCAGGGACATGTGTCTCATCAAGGACATTTTCTTTTTCTGGAAGTCCAGAATCATGAATTATGGATTTATCATTCATTTTCTCTTCCTGAATGATTTCATTTGGATTCAGTTGTGACCTCGACTTTCTCTTTCGAGGGGCTGAATCTTTTGAACCTGGGGGTCTACTACGCTTCAGGCGTGCACCAGATGAATCATTTACTACCACTTTATTTTGTCCAATAGGGACATCAATTCTTGCAGGTGCATTTGCAGCTGGTATATGTGATTTTATCACTTTCATAGCATCATTAAATGCATCTGGTATTTGATTGGCAATGCTTTGAAGATGAATGATCCTTCTCACTTCATTTTCACATTGAATGCTGCAAGGATCAAAATGAGACAAGGTGGGAACAACCCATGTCAGCTATTTCCGTTCTTCTGAAACGGTCTTTTCTCCCCCTAACGACGAGAAGACTGTCTCATCAAAGTGACAATCAACAAAATGAGCTGTAAACATATCACATGTCAAGGGTTCTAAATATCTAATGATGGATGGTGAATTAAAACCCACGTAAATTCCCAATCTACGCTGAGGTTCCATCCAAACGAGTGCTAAAACGATAGAAGGATGGGCTAAGCTTCAAGATGACACTACTGCAAAAAGTCAAATATATTACAGTTTGACTGACTCATTCTTGGTGCAATTTCCTAATAATATTTGTGTATACCAGTGTTACTTGGTGCAATTTCCTAAAAATATTTGGCCGACTCATTCTTCCGCATTTACATATTAAGGAGAAGATGCTTACGAACGAGATATCCAGCAACAAGAAAAAGAAAAAGGATTGAATAGGGTTATTTTATGCATCGAACAATTCCGATCCAAAGTACTGGACTAAATAGTTGTCCGACTGGACAGACACAAAACACCTACTCTCCGGTTTTTTTGGTCCCACCCAGCCATTTTGTATGGTGCCTTAAAAGACGTTCCTCCACTTATGAATATGTACGAGTTTGTAATTTACAAACTTTAATGTAAGAAGAAATTTCTCATTAGCTATGAGTAGTGGCCGAGCCACTGTTCAAAGATGACCCAAAAGTGAAATATACAGATGCATATTCTGTGTCAGATTCAATGACAAGTCACAAAGTATAGCAGTGGCAATATTCTCTCTTGTGGAATTTGCTCACTTTTCATTTTTTTAAAGTTTATTAGAATAATGACTCATTATAAACTGATCGAGATCAAACATGGACAATATTCCAATCATATATTGACGACAAACTAATCAAATATTACAAATAATCACTTTAATCGATTTACCTATTTAATTCTGGCCATAAGGTAGTTGTGGTCTTTGTGCATAGGAGAGTTTATGCTAGAATTGGGCATGATGCGGTTTCGGCCGATTCCACCCTCAAATTGGAACCGGAACTGAAAAATATAAATTATTCAGTTTCATGCTATTTCACTTAAATTTATTACTAAAACATATAGTTCGATTACAATGGTTCTGGTTCAATTTTGAGTGGTTCCGCCAACATAGAAGCTAAAACTGATATGAATGATTGGGTTCTGTTCTTACACTTAAGTTGACCCTTTTTTTGTCTGAACGATTTTTTACAATTTATTTTATCAGGATTCGATTCGATTTTGCAATTCTGCAGTTTTATGCCCATCCATAGCTTGTGCTCTCATTTAATCATTAAACTTTAAAGATGCCGAAGCAAAAGTAAAAGCTACAAAAGCATAAAAAATGGAGAGAAGGTAGAAAGGAGGAATAAGTTACAGTAGCCCAAGTTTTCACTTTACAAAAAATAAAATAAATCTTTTTTTTGGCACAAAGTCGATATATCTACTTCGAAAAATAAAGATGCAATAAAACGAAAGCAACAAAAAGAAGAGAATATAGACCAAAACAGTAAAAGTAATACCTACAAATCTTCACCGCAACCTATTTTTTGTCAACTTTTATGTTAACTGAAAAAGAATATTTACATAACAGATACTAAATTTAATTCTACTCACTTTCTTATTATATCTTCACTTGTAAAAAGGGAAAGGTTTTAAAACAAATTCAATTCTTGTTGAATAGCACATGGTCTGGTGTTATTCATTTTTAAGCACATTTTTAATATATATAATATTGTTTGTTAAAAACAAAATAATCCAAATCATTTTTGACATATTTCTATCTTAACCAATTCTTCCAAAACTTGAATTGAATTGTATCGGTATCATTTATTAATAAATTGTATTGAACTAATTTACCGTATTTGTCACGATTATCTATCATTTCTAGGAACCGAAAAAACTCAGGGAATATTTCAACCTCTTCCTGACCACAAATTTGGATTCCAAACCATCAGTGAATTTCAATCCTGAAACCTCAGTTTTTAATTTTAAAAAAGCCTCATAATCTATTATTTCCTACTGGACCACCGGCTCGTAATTTAATTTACCATATTTATCATTCACCATTTATTTCTATCCTTCCTTGTTCACACTCTCCATTTATTCACAATCATCGCATTGCAATCAACGGGATAAATCAAATCATCGAATTATATATAATCTAAATCGCAATTAAAATGGCACGTAATCATCAAATGAGAAGAAAAACGAGTAACTCCAAATCTGTAAATCCAATTATTATATTATTCTAAAATAGAGAAGCAATACACGAATCACTGATATTTGACTAATCAAGTATCTTACCCCCAAAATTTAAAAAGAAAATAATAAAAATAATCTACCTATCACCACTCCTCCGCCGCCGCGCCAAAAAATCAAGAATCGAATTGAATCACCATTTTTCACCGCCGTAGAAAACCCCAATTCAATCATATACTAAACATGCCCAGAATTTAAACAAAAAATTACGAGAAATTAATACCAGAAAATTTAAGATTTAACAGTAACCTCTATAAGTAGAAGAGCTTCGCGTATGAAGACGATTGAGTGTTTCTTCAGAGAATCTCTCTCCTGGCGGCGTAACCGTACTGAGATCTACGGACGTTATCTTGACGCTTCTTGTACACGAATCCTCCCAGCCCTACCAAACTGACTCCGACGATGACGCCGAACGCGATCCCCGCCTTCTTTCCGGTGCTTATTCCTCCTTCGGAGAACTCCTCTCCGTCACCGTCGGCGTTGATGTTATTGTGATTGATGTCGCTAGGAACCGACGGCGCTGAAGAGGGAACAGAAGGTTCGCTGTCAGGCGACGGCGATGGAGTCGATTGGGGCGGAGCGGGAGGAGAAGATGGAATTGGTGAGTCAGCCGGAGCGTTCGACGGAGATGGAGGGAGGGAAATCGGGGATGGAGATGGCGGTGAAGGTGCATCGGCGCCGGTTTGCGGCGATGGAGTCGGGGAGGGCTCTGGCGGAGAGGAAGAAGAGACGGCGGTGCTGAATTGGACTAGGAGGAAAGCGAGGAGCAGAGGCGAGACGAGTTCGATGAACCTCGACATTGTTGACGGAGGAGGCGGCGTCGGCTCGAGGTGTTTGTTTCCCGAGAAAATGTAGATCTGATGGGAAAGTAAGAAGAGAGGAAGTTGAGATTTTGGGAAGCAGTTTTGAAATGGAGCGGAGGAGATCTGAATTTGAAAGGAGGAGACCTCGGGAGAAGGGAAAAAGGGGACGGCCGAGATTGAAGAGGAGGGAAGAGGCGGAGTCAGATCTGGACACGTAGGTGGAGTAAAAAGCAGGGAGAGGAGCGATACACCGGATCTAGAAAAATGCGGAGGAGATTTAAGTTGGGTTTTTTTGGAAGTGTGGAAAAGAGTTGGATGATATTGTAATTCTATTATTTTATTTGGTCTTATTTATAAAGAGTTGTGTTTTTTTTTTTTTTCATTTTTTTTGTTGGAAATGCAACATTATGAACCATATTTTATTGAATTTGAAATGAAAACGATATTTTATACTATTTTATGAGGTTCATTCAGTATTATAATTCAATAATATTCTTTTTATCTGTAAATGTAAATGGAAGTTTTAGATTGAATATCATTAACAGTTCAATCTTGAAATTTGTGTAAATGAAGATAATAATATCACTTGCATCTCAAAAAAGAAAATACATTATTGTATAAAGGTCATATTATACTACGATCTAATAGTATTCCTCTTTACTTGTAAGTAAGAGGTTTTAGGTTTGATTATCGTCAAATGCGAGTTTGAACCATATTATTATTAATCTACTGTAATGCTAAATTTACCCTTTCTTCTTTAATGTAGATAATACTGTTTGTTAAAAAAATTTGCAAAGCGAGCAAACACACGAAGGAGAGGAACGGACAACGTTTAAAAAGTGAGTTGGAGATGACTTGAATTGTAAGGACATGAGAAATATGAGCTTTAATTGCTTGGTGGGTTTATTATGAATATTAATTTCTTTATTTATGGGATGACTTGAATTGGAAGGAGATGAGAAATGTGATTTATCAAACACAATAAACGCGGCAAGAAATATCTTTATTTATGTTTTGCAAGCTACTGTTTTTTATGCAATTTGCACATGATATGATGGGGACTAATTTGTATTTTTGATACCTTTTAAAAACCCTAACTCCAAATTGGAAAGGAATATTTGATCATCCAAAGAAAAGGAATATCTAGGAAGAAAAATGTGGAGTGAAATACGGATGGATGTGTGACTCAACCTGAACTTGACCTTAGATGGGTAGGTGGTCGGATCCAAGGGTCACTAGGTCGTGTTTAGTTGTCACACAGGAATCGCCGTATCTGGTACGGTGATTAACGGGTTGTGTTTGGCGATAATCAGATCTTGTTCTTGTCTAGAGTTATTATGTCATGTAAGTCAATAATTGAGTCGAATGTTGAGTCGACGTAGGTTTTATTTATCGTAATATGAGGATCAAAGTATTGACAACCCACTAAAAACACAAAAAAGAAAAGAAAAAAAAAAATCCAAGAGCTGTTTTATACCTAATCAGTTATGGCATTACAACAAATACGTGACAGGATGGCCGTGCTAAATTGCTAATGGGTTAATTTGTTTTTCTTTTTTGAAAGAGGACAAATATGGAAATTAAACTATATACATACCATTGATACCAACCACAAAATTAAAAACTTTATTATCTTTTATCGAAAAAAAAAACATAAAGCAAAACAAAGCAATGCATTATAGATGAATTTATGGGACAAGGATCATTTCCGGATCTTCTTTGTGAGGATTTAATCGTGTCCTGTTCAACGTATATAGTGCAGTCAATTTTCATTAGGTGCTATTTATATTTAATTTTAAATTTTAAATTTAATATGATTTCTAACCGCACTATGTACGATAAACAAACACAATTGATTGATCTTCCAGATCCCTACAAAGAGGATCCAGGGAGGATCCTATTTCGAATTTATGGACATGATTGTCCATCCAAATATAGGATAAATAATGAACAGCGGAGCGAGAGGTGTGGTTTTTTTGTCATTGACAATATGGCTGTCCAACCATATATGATAAGAGAATTAACAATTATTATTCACTTAATATGAAATTAATTATGCCGATGCAAAACAAATTAGAGTCCATTTGCACATGGACATGGTTTCCCAAGCATTATGCATACAGGGATCTGCTTAAAAAAGCAATAACAATTATTCAAATTTCAATTAATGGCTAATGGGTACTGAAAAGAATTTGCATGAAACAAATTTACCATCATTGAGCGTCATATGCTAATAATATATATAGAGATGTGTAAGTTTTTATTAGCATGACATACATTTTTATCCACCTTACCACTGCAGTGTGTAGAGCCATAGTTGGTAACACGTCGGACTTTCAAATCCGGTGGGCATCTTTGAATAACTCTGAATATAATTTCAAGCGTTAAGATGTTCATTTTCTTCTTTACCAATCTATCTTAAATTCCAAGGGTGACAATTTTGTTGTCTTATCATGTAACGCTACTAGATCATGATTGCATGAGAGGCTGTTCTATTTATGCCAACTCACGTTGGGCTACAAGTGCCCTACAATGTCTGACTCAAACAAAAAAAGAGGTACCCTACAACTGATGGACCACCCTACCTAAGTCTCTTGATAGGCATACGAGAACATAAAAAGTGTGTTAGAGACTAAAAAGAACATCTTTTTCTTTGAAAAATAGCCTTAACCACTTAAATTCAAAAAAAATTTATCGGAAAGCTTTCAGTACTGTTCATTTTAACGAAAAATTATATTTTTACACACAAAAAATCAATTCTGATACTATTTACTTTACCTTTTGTTTTGTCTTTATCGTTAAAACTCAAAATTTTCAAACCCTTTGTTTTTAGTTTTTCTTGAATTAAAAGCCACTTTTACGAAATTGTCAATTTTACATTGGGTAATTAGCAACAATAAACATATTTTGACATTTTGTCGATATCGTGGTTGGATTAAATTGATGCTTTTATAACAAACTAAACCGAAATAACACATCCATCACAGCAACGAGAGATTATTCAGGTTAAGTTTCTTAAAATTCTCCGGACATTTTTCGGGGTTGATATTGCGAATTTGAGTTTCTCATATCGTTTCTGATCTCCCTATTTTTCTCTTCTATGTGACAAGTCTCTCTTTCTCTACCACACGGATGGTGATGGCCAACACTAACTCGGCAGACAAATTAGCATACGCTATTATATTCCTCACAATTCATCCTTCGAATCTTCGGCGCTGCCGCTCCCTTTGCTCTCTGTAGCAGCAGAACCCTCGGATTTTGGTGTTGAGGCCGGCTTTTGGAGCTTGAAGGGGATTGATGCGTTTTTCTTGAGGAATTTGTAGAATGCCACCACTGTGCGGTCACTGTCTACGGTAATCTGTTTGGCATCAAGGAAGCAGATAGTCTACGTCAGACACAAAACAAGGAAGAACAAGAAGATATGTGCTCTCGTTAGATCTAAGAAAAACATAATGAACGATTCTAAATGCCACTTACTGGATCGAAGCTCTTATTTCCCGCTGGGAAGAATAGAAGTGTAGGGAACCCATCGGCCTGAAAAATCAAACGAGCAGCAATTAATTGCAGAGTTCTTGTTTCCAATGGACATTCACTTTTTACCCTAAGGATATCGACATTAGGCGTAAAAACCATAAATCTAATCCCTTTTCTTCCAGCGCAAATTTGGCCCCATAGCTCTTTAATAGGCTATTGAAATATGCAAACTATCATTTAACCACAGCAATTTGACATTACCTTCGCCCTGGGATGCTCATTTGTGGTTCCGTCCATCTTCGCTATAACAATAGAGTCAATGCCTCGTAGATGTTTGGCAAGCTTGTTGTAGGCTGGCTCCAGAGATTGGCAATGCCCGCACCAGGGTGCGTATATCTGAGATAATGATTCTTCAAAAATGAGGACCTTGCAAAGACAAATTTTAATCAACTATTCGTTTGTTTCTTAGTTTGCAGTGTTACCTCGAGAAGAACATCCTTTGATTCATCCAAGACAATTTCATCAAAGTTATTCCCAACAACTATTTTCACATCCCCGTCGTTCTGTGCCAATCAAAGAAAACATATAAGTTTGAATAGAGAACCAAGACAACACAATTAGGAGGATGAAAGAAATTTAACACTTACACTTTCAGGAATTGGGTCCGACTTATAGAAAGGTTTAAGCTTGTCCTCAATAAAGTCCTCCCCAAAAGCCTAATGAAAAATGAATTCACAAGATACAGTTAGATTGTATAAAATGAAGCACACAGAAGAGAGAGAGAGAGTAGTCACCTTTAAATTAGCTAAGGTCACCTCTCCGTCAAGAAAAAATTTCCTACCATCGTCATTTCCAGTGTACCCAAGAACCTATAAGGAACAATATTATTCGTAGCAACAAATAAATCCAGGAACATGCAAATTGCAACTATACAATCTATCTTCTATCTTTCCAAAGTAAAGTAAGTGAATTGAATACAAAGGTTAGGAAAAGCTCACTGTTGGAGCTTCACTAGTGACACCGAAATAATCTGAAACTGGCTTTCCGATATCTTCATTATCCGTTTCCACATATACAAAGATAAGCTGCAAGCAACCACACACACAGTTATACAAAGTTAAGTTGCAACCCTCATCCTTTGTTAACAAAAAAAGAATGCAATGTGTAGCTTAGCAGCCAAAAAAACATCAGATGCTCAAATTATGCAGGTCATATATAGTGGCCACAGAGAACAAATGCAACAACATATTCAAAGTTAATAGAAACTAACCAACCTACTTAAAGGACAAGGTATGTATTTACCTTTTTATTTTCTATTGAAACAATATTTTGTTAGTAAAAAGAGATGAGCACAAACTGAAAACCCTAATAAGGCCGAAAAAAGGGTTCCCTGGAGTTTTTCAAAAATCAAAGCTGGATTACCAAATTGAAACTTTACACTGACAAAACACCCTCCCCATGTCCCCTAATGCACTAAAAATCCTTTATTTCTTCCTAACTACACCACCCCAAAACACAGCCAT